GCCTGTAGTTCCAGCTACTTGGAAGGCTAAGGCGGAAGGATCACCGGAGTCCAGCAGGTCCGGGCTGCGGTAGTCGGGAGCGGCCACTGCACTCCAGTCTGGGCCACAGAGTGAGACTCCAACTCGAAAAAAAAAATCTCATTTCCAATGCCTCAAACAGTACATAGAACAAATAAACAATGACTGACTGAATGAATAATCGAATGACAAATGTCAGTTGTTAATTAAAATGATGTTACTATCACCACTAACATTACAAATGCTACCTTGCTATCCGTCTTGAAAAAACATATGAGGGTTACTCCAAACTACCCAATGAGTTAACATCTGGGAAACGTGTGCTGTTGTCTGAGATGGGCTTTGTCTGCCATCTAGTGGCCTCTCTAGCAGCTGCAAGGCACCCTGAGACCGTACTGAAATTGAGGCTGCAGCGTGGGAGGTGCAGGCGACCCCCCAGCTGTCCAGCCACACATTCGTTCAAACACCTGTGCGTCCCTTGTGAGAATGCCACATGGCAGACCCTTCTCAAGGGAGATCCGGCGGTGCCTAACGAGACCCCACAGGCAGCCACCTCCCCTGGGCGATCCTACCACTAGGAATCTGCCCTGAAGAGTCAGTGCCAACAAGGCAAAGGGCACAGAGATCCACGCGGCGCTGTAGCCTGTGATTTCCACCGGTTGGACACTACCTGCGTGTCCCTACCTGAGAGTGTGGTTGAACTCACTGGGGCACAGCTACAGCCACGGCCACACAGGGCTGTACAGCAGGAAAAAAGATGAGGGAGATCTCTGGTGCCGATATGGAGTCATCGCCAGGACACGCTTGGTTTTGTTTTTCTGGGTTTCTTTTTCAGTTGAGTCTCACTGTGTCACTGAGGCTGGAGTGCAGTGGTATGCTCATGGTCACCGCAGCCTGGAGCTGCTGTGTTTAGGTGATCCTTCCACCTCAGCCTTCCAAGTAGCTGGAACTACAGGCGCGTGCTACCATGTCTGGCTAATTTTTTGATTTTGCAGAGACGATGTGTCACCAAGTTGCCCAGGCTAGTCTCCAACCCCTGGGCTCAGGCAATCCTCTCACCTCAGCCTCCCAAAGTGCTGGATTACAAGCTTAAGTCATCACACCCAGCCAGGACACACTGTTAAGTGGAAAAAATCTGAAAGAACATCTGTGGCATGCCATCCACTGTGTAAGAAAGAAGGAGATGTAAGAAAATACTCATCTGTTTGTGAAAAACAACAAAACAAAAAGCTGGAAGCACAACACAGAAACCCGAGAGACTGGACACCCACAGGGGCTGTGGCAACGAGGTGGGGAGAGAGAAGGGATGGGGTGGGGACATGGATGAGGAAGGAGAAACACTTTTCTGGCATGTCTTTTGCTAAATCCTCGACTCCTGGACCCCTTGTGACATGTCACGTAACCTCACATACTCAGACAGTAAACAAACAATTAAAACCAACCTGGATGTGGGGAGTTGAAAATAAAAGACAAACACCAACAAAAGGACCTAACAGATAACAAATGAGTAACCCAACCCCTGGAGGGGGTGGGGCAGGACAGAACCTACCCAAGTAACTTTGGAAGACGTGTTTGTTGTTTCTTTGTAGAGATGGGGTCTTGCTTTGTTGCTCAGGCTGGTTTTGAACTCCTGGGTTCAAGCAGTCCACTCCTCTCGGTCTCCCAAGTGCTGGGATTGCAGGTGTGAGCCATTGCATCTGGCCAACGCACTTTTATGTTGGAGTCAAGGAGTGGATGTGCAGGTGAGTGCCTTGTGTGATGGCGAGTTTAGGGGGTAAGCACGGCACTTTAAGGACACTTTTCAAAGGCAGAATGACTGTGACGAGAGGTCTTCCTCCCCATGTGGTGACAGTCGCCTGTGTAGGACGGATCCTGAGGCTTGCTCAAACAATGGGGATACACGTTTGTGGCTGGCAAATAAGAGGGTGGAGATTGAGGACTCCCATGTTAGGCTTCCAGAAGTCGAGATGTCTGTGGTTTCCCGCAGCTAACTTCTCCCTCTGGGCCTGTACAAGCATGTCTACAAAACGACCAGGTTGGCCTGATGAGGGAAGACTGGCCCAGGGTCAGTAACCAGCTTTACAGCCTTGAGTAGGTGTGGCATCCCAACAGCCATCCTAACATGCCAGAACATCCATATTTTCAGTACGTATTGAAAAGAACATATTGTCCACGTGCAGTGGCTCATGCCTGTAATCCCAGCACTTTGGGAGACTGAGGTGGGAAGATCACTTGAGTCCAGGAATTTGAGATCAGCTGTGGCAACTTAGCAAAACCCCATTTCTACAAAAATAAGAAAATAAGCCGGGTGTGGCAGTGTGTGGTGGTGTAGCTCCCTGGCTGTTCTGGAGGCTGAGGCAAAAGGATCACCTGAGCCCAGGAAGTCGAGGTTGTGGCGAGCCAGGACTGTGCCACCACACTCCAGCCTGGGCAACAGAATGAGATTCCAACTCAAAAAAAAAGAACACATCAACTGATTTGGGAGCCCCTGGTTAGCCTGTCTGTATCCAAAACTCCAATGACGTTTAAAGTATAAATTAAGACTGGGTATGGTGGCTCATGCCTGTAATTCCAGCACTTTGGGAGGTCAAGGTGGAAGAATCGCTTGAGTCCAGGAGTTTGAGATCAGCCTGGGTGACATGGTGAGACCCCATCTCTAGTAAAAAAATAAATTAACTAGGCTGGGTGCAGTGGCTCACGCCTGTAATCCCAGCACTTTGGGAGGCCAAAGTGAGAGGAGTGCCTGAGCTCAGGGGTTAGAGCTCAGGGGTTAGAGCTGGACAACTTGGTGAGACCTCGTCTCTTCAATAAATCAAAAAATATAAGCCTGGCGTGGTAGCATGTGCCTATAGTTACAGCTACCTGGAAGGCTGAGGCAGAAGGATCGCCTCAGCTCAGCAGGTTGAAACTGTGGTGGCTGTGAGTGTGCCACTGCACTCCAGCCTGGGCGACAGAGTGAGACTCTGACTAAAAAAAAAAAAAAATTAATTTAATATCATTTAAAAAGAAAGTCTGAATTGTGTGTGTCTTTTTCTTATCCAACCGTAGACATATGTGATTGCCAGTTTGGTAGAAGAAAAAGTCACTACGTGGACCCCAATGAAATGGAATGAATAAAACAACTCTTCTGGTAGAAATAGACTCAAATGTTCTAGGAAACACCACTTCTCGATGAATCACTTAAAATCATAATTAAAGTTGCCTCTTGTAATATAAAACATAAAGATAAGTTCCCTCTGTTGCGTCAGTAGATACTCTAAGGAAGAACTCAAGAGTTTCTATGACAACGATGCCAGCGTCTTATCCCACATTTCCTTGGTCTCCATCCTACAGCAGGCATGGCACCCAGGTCAAGGTTGTCACCATGGACTACTGTGCAGCTTCTGGTACATTTCTCGCCACGCACAGCTCAAGTGCCAATGGCAAAAGCAAAAATAGGAACTGCTTGGGCTACTGATCCCACATTCATTTTTTTTTTTTTTTTTTTTTTTTGAGTCAGTCTTGCTCTGTCGCCCAGGCTGGAGTGCAGTGGCATGCTCACGGCCACCACAGCCTCGAGACCTGCTAGGCTCAGGTGATCCTTCTGCCTCAGTCTTTCAAGTAGCTGAAACCACAGGCACACGCTACTATGCCAGGCTAATTTTTTGATTTATTGTAGAGACGAGGGCCCGCGAAGTTGCCCAGGCTGGTATGGAACCCCTGGACTCAGGCAATCCTCTCACCTCGACCTCCCAAAGTGCTGGGATTACAGGCTTGAGCCACTATGCCCGGTTCATTTTTTTCTTCTAGTTAACAAAAGAAAAAAGAACGATCTGGGATGCAGGAATTCTTTTCTTTAGAATAGTTTTATTAGTGTGCATACTGTTTGGCAACCATAACTCTTTCCTACCGCAACACGCTAGTCGGAGTCTCGCTCCCCCCAGATTTCGTATATGGTAACATTGTTGCTTGGATCGCCAGGCAAGTCCAAATTTTGAAGCTTGAGGTTATTGCCAGTCGTCATGGTGACTTTAAGACTCCGCACCTTGGACAGAAACTGCACAAGGTCCACCTCGAGCTGGGTTAAGGCGTTGAATGCGTACTCCCTTTTGGGGAAAGTATTTTGATTTCTTTTCAGTGGAGAACGAAAGGTGCAGCCACGAAGGCCAGAAGGATTCTGCTCCTGTGAAGAGAGATATTCAGAGTGAGTGATGTCGTTGACTTTGCTGGCTTTGACACAGTTCCCAAAAAAGGTGGGCTCATTTAAGACAAGATGCTTTGAATAGGCGTTAGCCCAGGCATTGGCAAACTGTGACGAAACCTGGCCCACCACCTGTTTTTGTAAATAAAGTTTTATTGGAACATGGCCCTGCTTGGTCATTGGCCTGTTATCTGTGGCTGCTTTCATGCAATGACAGTGAGTTGAGCAGCTGCAGCAGAGACCATATGGGCCATGAAGCTGAAATCTTTACTTTCTGGCTCTTTACAGGAAGTATTTGCTAACTCCTGCATGGGTCCATGTGTTCATGGTATCGTGAAATGCTGGGTCTGTCTGGGTGAGAATGTGGGTATCTCTCTCCCCTCCTCTACCTGAAAGAGCCATTGACTCAGCTTGAGGCCTCACTGTCACTACTTGACACCTTTATCCCTTTAGTGCAGGTCTTCTGTTTCCTTGGGATAACGATACCATTCCCATCTAGGACAGAAGTAAGTGAAACACTAGGAACGTTTTAAAAATCAGACCAGATTGGTGGCTCAGCCTGTAATCTCAGCACTTTGGGAGGCCGAGGTGAGTGGATTGCCTGAGCCCATGGGTTTGAGACCAGCCCAGGCAACTTGGAGACCTCATCTCTACAATAAATCAAAAACTAGCCGGGCGTGGTAGTGTGCGCCTGTAATTCCAGCTACTTGGAAGGCTGAGGCAGAGGGATCGCCGGAGCCCAGCAGGTTGAGGCTGCGGTGGCTGGGAGCGGCCACTGCACTCCAGTCTGGGCGACAGAGTGAGACTCCAACTCAAAAAAAAATAAATAAATAAATAAATAAATAAATAAATAAAATTAGCTGGGCACAGTAGCGCGCACCTGTAGTTCTGGCTACTTGGAAGGCTGAGGTGGAAGGCTCGCCGGAGCCCAGAAGGTCGATGCTGGGGTGGCCGTGACTGTGCCCACGGCACTCCATCCTGGGTGATGGAATGAGACTCAACTCAAAAAAAAAAAAAAAATCTGGGGATGGGGATGGGGCTGGGTGCAGTGGCTCAAGCCTGTCATCCCAGCACTTTAGGAAGTGGAGGTGAGGCGAGTGTCTGAGCCCAGGGTTCAAGACCAGCCTGGGCAACATGGCAAGACCTCGTCTCTACAATAAATAAAAAATCAGGGGATAGAGAATCTGAATAATTTTGACCTTTGGAAACACATCATAAGTTCCCAATTCTCTCCCGCATTTGAAAAAAAAAAAACAAAAAACATTTCACAGGAAAAACTGCGAGCCTGTCAACAGAAGGTCATTTTCAACTATTTCTCCCAAACTGTGGATTTGGGAACTACTGTCTTTGCTAAGGGTATGTCAGAAGGCCCACATGCCCAGGACCACAAGGCAGGGTGACAACACATAACATTCCCGCCTAGACCCACTCAAGCATCTGCCTCCGAGTCTGAGGTTTCTGAGACTGAATCAATATGGCGCCATCCTTACCGTAGTCTTCTCGCTGTCTCCTCGAAACTTGAGTATCATATACAACACGACCACGAAAAAGATCCAGAGCCACTTGCTCCCAAGCCAGCCTTGGGTGTGCTCTGGGAGATTCTGCCTGACCCGGAAGTGCCCCCCGCAAGGCACCTTCCCCTGGGGCTCCTTGGCCTTCTCCTTCAGAGAAGAGAACATGAAGGCGCAGCCGCAGGAGAGGAGCAGGGGCAGGAACAGGAAGCATTTCAGCGTCCCCATGATGAGCAGAGATGCGGGAGGAGCTCGCTCATGGTGGGTGCATGTGCCCTCACGATGGGGAGACCGGGCCCCAGTGCTGGGCCCCTGGTGATGTCACAAAGGGCCCTGAGCCCATGCCATTGTGATGACTTCAGGGCAGGGGCGAATGAGACTGACAGCCGGAGCCTGGGAGGAGGACTTGGGGGTAGACGGAGTTTCCAGCTCTTGACCCAAGCGCTCTCCTAGGCAAGGCCGTCACCTGTTTCTGCTTTTTGTTTGTTTGATCAGACATTTGTGGTGAGAGAAACAATATCCCTCTGTGGAGCTGACAGTTGAGTGGGAAAGAAAGATAATAAACCACAGGCTGCGAGCTAGGAGCCACCAGTGCATTTTGTTTGGCCTTCATTGTCTCTAGAAGGAATTATTTGCCAGCATTGAATGTAGAGGGAAACTTCACTTAAAAACTCTAGATTTCTGACCTCCTTTGAACATATGGAAGCTCTGGCTGGGTACAGTGGCTCATGCCTGTAATCCTGGTATTTTGGGAGGCTGAGACGGGAGGACTGCTTGAGGTCAGGAGCTTGAGGCCAGCCTGGGCAACATGGTGAGACCTTGTTTCTACAAAAATTCAAAAAATTAGCTGGGCATGGTGGCACACACCTGTAGTCCCAGCTACTCCAGAGGCTGAGGCAGAAGGATCGCCTGAGCCCAAGAGGTCGAGGCTGCAGTGAGCAGTGATTATGCTGCTGTACTCCAGCCTGGGCGAGAGTGAGACCCTGACTCAAGCAATAAAATAAAAATAAAACAGAAAATATGGAAGCTCTGGTAACCTGGGGCCTATGCTCTCACAGAGTCATTCTCTGCTGGAGTCAAGTGGGAACTGTCCCTCCGGGTGGTTATAGTCTCTCCACAGTCCCCACCACTCCCTATCACCTTACACCATCATCATGACCTCACCAGTGTGCAATCCCCAGTTAAGGATATACTTTAGATGGTTGCGGTGGCTCATGACTAATCTCAGCACTTTGGGAGGCAGAGGCAAGAGAATTGCCTGAGCCCAGGGGTTCAATTCCAGTCTGGACAACTTGGCAAGATCTTGTCTCTACAATGAATTAAAAAAAAAAAAAATTAGCCGGGCATGGTGGCACACAACTGTGGTTCCAGCTACTTGGCTGAGGTGGAAGGATCACCTGAGTCCAGCAGGTCAAGGCTGCAGTGGCCATGGCTGTGCCACTGCACTCCAGCCTGGGCGATAGAGTGAGACTCTGACTCAAAAATATATATATATACTTTACGTGGTTATAATTGTGATATGAACAGAGAACTTTACAGACTAGACCAAGGGGACTGACTGTTCTAACCCAGGTTTGCAGGAAGGCTTTCCATAAAAAGACATTTGAGTAGAGCTGGAGAGATGATTAGGAGCTGGCTGGATAAGTGGGCAGGAGCTGATACCCAGGTCTGTGTGAAGACCCCATGTAGGAGAGGACAACCTGTGTGAAGACTGAGCCCGAGGCCAGGAACACACCTAGGACTCACTGGTGTATTGGAAATCATCAGCTTTAAAGAATGACACAAGACAAGAAATCCTTGTTAATGGGACACAAGGCTTGCACATGCCCCATGGTCACCCATAAGAGCAGCCTTCCTAAGGAGGGCCTCATTCACAGACTTGCTCCTAAGGAGCAGAACTTTCTGCTGAATACAAAATACCCAAGGTCTCCTGCGCTCCTTCAAGGTGCCTCTGACTGCTGAACTTGAGGGAATGACACGTAGCTCTGTAAGATCAAAGGGGAAATGGTGTGGCCCTACACTCCCAGATCAGCAGTGTCAGCTGGAGGGGGGACATCCTGTTGGAGCCCCTCTGGGCGGGACTTAGAGTCCTAAGGGCAGGTTAGAAGGTGGGCACTGTTATAGGAGCCCACCTGTCCTGAAAGCTCCTGCTTCAGAGCGGGCTTCCCTGAGAGGCAGCTGGCCCTGGTATCCCTGGCTGTGGGGCACCCTGGGACCTCATTTCAGAGGCCCATCCTTGGCATCACACTGTTCCCTGTCCCCAGTGTCCCCATTTCAGGTGCTCCAAGCGACCACTGCTGAGAATTTTGAGTGGTTCCCATGTCTGCACGTATTCTGTTTTAAGTCAACTGTCCTAGTTGGTGGTTATGGTGTGCTGATGCACAAACTTGATTCACACGAATAAACCCAAACAAAAAAAATCCACTAAGTTTTGTCACATGTGGTTTTTATTTGGGAATGTTCACATGTATTTGATGATAGGAATCACTTTTTTCCCCCCTACCTATATTCAAAAGTCTAGGCTGGGCATGGTGGCTCATGCCTGTAATCCCAGCACTTTGGGAGGCAAAGAGGGGTAGGATCATTTGAGCCCAGGAAGACCACCCTGGACAACATAGTAAGACCGTGTCTCTACAAAAACAATACGAAAGTTTAAAAAAATTAGTTGGGCATGGTGGTACATGCTTGGCTTGTAGTTCCAGCTACTCAGGAGGTTGAGGTATAAGGAATGTCTAAGCCCAGGAGGGTGAGACTGTGATGAGCTGTGATCATGCCACTGCACTCATCTGGGCAAGTAAAAAACAAGACAAAAAAACGTCTAGAGTACTTTCTCATAGGCCAGCGGAAAAGCGGGTGAGCCCTACTAAGATCTCTGAGCTAAACTCTCTGGGCCAAAAGGTAATAGGTTCACGGGGTTGAGTGATCATCTTCTCATTTTTTGAGGCAACTGTAATCTCACTTCTTGGGAATCAAGGCCAGTGGAAGGAAATGGTCTGTATTCTGGAGAGTTTCGACCTTCTCTGCTCAACATCCTCCCGGCTCCCTTGGTTGGAGAAGGGTCCTAGAGGTGGCCGAGGAGGAGCTGGTGGAGGCCCCCTCTCCCTCTCTGGCCCAGCACCCGAAGTCAAGGCCCAGGCCCCTGCAGCTCCCCATGACCTGTCACCTGGCAAAGACTGCAGAGGGGCGGCGTGGTGTGCCATGGGCTGAGAGCTGCACTTTACCCGACTGCTTTGGGCTCAGGAACCCAACTGCAAAGTGGGTGGTGACCAATGTCCCACTTCATTGGGCTGCTGGGGTTCCCAGGAGACAAAGGTTATTAAGCACCGGCTCTTCTGGTGATCCCTCTTGCCCTCTGAGTGTGAATGGTGATGCCCTTGCTACACGGTCAAGGCTGGCCCAGACCCCCAGGATGCTTCTGCCTCCCCCACAGGATGGTCCCCACAGTCCATGCAAGGGAGCAGAGCCTTTGAGACACCAAAGTTTTGATGCCCAGGACCCTGTGACTAGGTGATCCAAAAAACTTGGACACAGACAGTATAATCAATGCAAAATGAAACTGATTAAGGCTGAAATGAGGACAATTGCAGTTGATAGAAATAATGACCATTGAAATAATAGAAAACACCCTACGATGGCAAAAGTTGTACTTAGTAACATGGTGACTAAAAGGATTAATCAAGTTTTCTTTGTAAAGTTAGAGAACAATGGATTATGATAAAAAAATAATTTCAGCCACTGCTTTACTAGACTCTAGTGTGGCCATGTATTCTTTGAGCTATGGCTGCCACCATGTTTCCTAAGCTTTGGCCCTCTCTCCTACCTTGGTGAGGAGAATCTTCTCTCTCTCTTAATTTACTTTCTAAATAAACTACATTTTTCAATCTAACTTCTGTGCAATTCTTTGCATCTTTCATGCAGCACCTGATCACACAACCCCACCCCAGCAGGTCTGACCTAACATTTGGAGACCCTGCAGGGATGTATTTTTTTTTTAACCTAACAGCTATGTAACAGGAATTACATTTAAGCCAGTGTCTATGCTAAATAAAGGTTCATGCATTTTAGCTCAAGAAAGTAGCTATCAGGAAAGTGAAAGCCACAAGACACAAGAGCTTTCTGAGATACAAAAGCTTTGAGTCCTTGGCTTTTGAGTCAATACCCACATTTTAATATATGTATTATTATCTCTGCCTTAAGCTTGCTATAAAAATGTTTTTCTGATAGGTATTATTTTTTCCAAGAGCAAAAGAAAAAATAATAATAATTTCAAGGCCAGGTGCAGTGGCTTAAGCCTGTATTCCCAGCACTATGGGAGGTAGAGGTGAGAGGAGTGCCTGAACCCAGGGCTCAAGACCAGCCTGGGGAACTTGGCAAGACCTTGTCTGTAGGCAACAAATAAAAAAATTAGCCGGGTGTGGTGCCATGTACCTGTAGTTCCAGCTACTTGGCAGTCTGAGGCATAAGGATCAACTGAGCTCAGCAGGTCAAGGCTGCGGTGGCTGTGAGCATATTGCTGTACTCCAGCCTGGGTGACAGTGAGACTCCAACTCAAATAATAATAATTTCAAGCAATTTAAAAAGGAACTAATTGCTGTGAAAAGTATTCTAAAACATTTTTAAAAAGGGGAAAAAACAATTAGAATATGGTTTAACTGGCCTATGTAGAAAACCAATCAGGAAATAAAACGACAAATTCAGGTTTGTTCTGGAAAAGTCCATAACAAAAACTCATTTGTTAATAGAATTTTGACTGCATTGCTTCTATATTCACAATATCCAATGTCCTGGGGCCAAGTCCTCCCATCACATGAGGCAGAGAACCAGGGAGGTTCTTAGAGCAGGGCCATGATTGGCTCCTCCCTAGTAGTCCCCCACCACGCCTGTGTCCCTCCAGATTCACCTGCTGGCCTCCCACCCTTTGACCTTTCCCCCTCGCTCTTTTTCCTGCTTCTGAAGGAAACCCAGGCCCCAGCACTGCTTACAGAGAACCAGGAACTGGGGTGGGGCTGGGGCCTCGGTCCCTCATCAGGAGTCTCAGGGAAGTTCCCGTCACTGTTGACTTCAACACCATAAAGGACAGACAGAAGGCACCAGATGTATGTCCTCTACCTCTGCCGAGGGCGAGGAAGGGTGGGATTCCCAGGACATTGTGGAATCTCCCATTGCCATCAATGCAACAGCTGCAGGTTTTTGTTGTTGCTGTTGTTTTTTTCTGAGTTGGAGTCTCACTTTGTCGCCCAGGCTGGAGTGCAGTAGCACACTCACGGTCACCCCACTGTCGACCTGCTGGGCTCTGGCGATCCTTCTGCCTCAGCCTTCCAAGTAGCTGGAACTACAGGCACACGCTACCACACCTGGCTAATTTTTTGATTTACTGTAGAGACGAGGTCTCGCCAAGTTGTCCGGGCTGGTCTCAAACCCATGGGTTCAGGCAATCCGCTCGCCTTGGCCTCCCAAAGTGCTGGGATTATAGGCTGAGCCACCAAGCCTGGCCGGCAGTGTTCTAACCAATGCCCAAGTGAAAGACAGAAAAAGAAAAATTACAGACAGGTGAGGGAAGGCAGACCAGCTTTATTTTTATACCAAATCATTATAGGCCCAACTAAGTCTCTGTCATGTTCCAGGTAATCGAGGAGCAGCCTCCCCAAGCACGAGCCCAGCAGGGCTGTGACAGAGGGCAAGGCCCCTAGCAGCCTCCAGCAGGCACAGGCAGCGTGCACAGGAAGTCATCCTTCTAAGGCTCAGCTTTACTTGCTGACTTCGATAAACCAGGGTTTTGTCCAGGTGAGCCACCCACCCCTGCGAGGAGCCTGGAGTCCCGCTGCTGCAAGCATAAGCCGTGCAGCCAACAGCCCCCAGCTGGGAAAGGCCCAAGTGCACTGACAGGTGGAGCGAACATGAGTGTGGCTGTGGGCGGCAATGCAGCCACTCTGCACCACCCACCACGGGCTGCTGGGACTCACACGCCTCAAGCAAGTGACCACACGGTTCAGAGGCTGGTGTGGACAGCTTTATGACATGGAGCCACACACAGTACATGGTACAATCAGAGGGCACAGCCTGCCTACATGGATGCTGGAAAGAACCTTCCAGGCAAGGAGCTGCGGGTGTGGGCTTCAGAAGCAGTAGGATGTGTGGGTGACCCAGTGGGCCGACTCTTCCTTGGAGCGCTTGGCGGAGCTGTGTGTTGTGAAGAGGGACTTGTAGGCCTCGGACTCCTCACTGTCAGCGATGGACCTCTTCAGGGCCCCACACAGAGGCTTTCCGGCTTTTCCCAAAGAGCTCTCGCTTGTTGCTGGAAAAATGAAAAGCTGAGCTCTTAGGGCTAGGACTAAAGATCATTCCAGACTTTACATCCAGAAGGAAGCACATTGGCACTCTGTCCCAGGCACCTCCTGCTGGCTGCTGAGTGCTGAAGTGTATAACCTTACCCGGCCCCCTGACAAAACAGACACGGACACAACACCCACTTCCAGCACCCAACATCCCACAAACTGCTCCGTGCTCTGTGCCAGGCACTGGTCCCAGCACTGTGAACAGCTCAGATCATCTCACGAGGTGAGCCTGCTCCATGGGGGGGAAACGGAGGCATAGGAGCCTGCCGGACCTCCCCACAGAGCCTGTTAGCTACTGCAGATGCTGTAGTACAAGATCACACCTTTCTTTATTTAATGAATCTATGCTTTTCTTTTTGCGAAATAAATGCTATTTTCTTCGAGCTAAAGATAGTGAGTTTCAGGATAACTCTGACCTTTGGTCAAGAGGTAGGCAGAGAAGGGACTTTGAGAGGCATTTGTGGCACTCATAAAAACCCCAACTGTCAAGAACTCGGGACCCTTCCTGTCCAGTACTGAAGCTGCCATCCACTCGACAGTTTCCACGGGATGCCTGAGTTGGTGCTCGGTGCAGCCTCTTTGGCGAGGCACCAAGCACCCACTCACCAGGAAAGCTGAACCGGCACGTGTGCCTGGCCCCTTTGATCTCCAGGGCTCCTGATGAGGGCATGCTATTTCCTAGTCAGCCCTCAAGAGGGCTCCATGCACTATCTGGAGACACGACTAAGGAAGAGCCTGAGTTCCTTGCCTCCTCATTCCCACAGAGCCAGGACACAAGCACTGGGTTCAGGCTCTCGACAGCTCCCTGCTGCCCACAGGACCCACCTGCGCTCTTGGGAGCTGAGCTGGCCTTCTTCTCTCTAGAATCAAGGCCAGTCTCTTCAGGCTTCCCTGCCTTAACTTTTGACGGCCCCGGGGTTTCTATAAAAGAACAGAGTAAGGAAACCAAACCAGTACAAAGGCATGAACTCGTTTAGGAAACAGCACTAAAAACAAGGACCTCTTCAGCAGCTCACCTTCATTGCCATCTGGTCTTGAAATGGGCTCTGCCACCTTGGATTTCTTCGTCTTCTGTAGAAAGAAAGAGGATGTTGGAGGACGTGCCCAGATGGATTAGACTTTGGTGTCAGGCTTGTGTCATAGGTGACGCAGGTCACATGAGGTGGGTACTCGCTCTGAAGACTTCTGATCATCCATACACTCTAAGCCTGAGTCCTCTGATGTGTCCCCAGGTAAACACTTCTGTCTTACATGAGAATGTATCTGCACAGATCTTGCTTGGTTTTCTATTTATGCTCTAATTTATGTCCCAAAAGTTACATTCTCAAAAATGTTTAATGAAGATGACAGACTTCAATAATAATAGTCAGTGCTCATGGTGACTGCTGTACACAAAAGAGCAGCTAAGGAACAAGGACATAAAACATGTATTGGGTGTGTGGAGTCCAGGCAGCACACCACGTACTAACTTGTCCCCATTCCCATAACTCTTTTCCAAAGTTGTCAAACTGCCTTGACATTTCTTCACTTAACCATAAGGCCTTGAAGTTTATGTTAAAAACATGTTAGCAAATTATTCTAAACCCTGGATTACTTTTGTTAGATTTTTCAGGCATTAGAATTTTGTTACTCATAATAGTTACTTTGGTCAGCAAGAATAAAAAAATGAACTAATAATTCTAAATTACACAGCTGTGCTAGAATTTTCAATTGCAGAAATGACAAATAGGGCAATTAATGTTCATTCAATTTACTTTAAGATGTCAATTTCTAGCCGGGCTCGGTGGCTCAGCCTGTAATCCAGTGCTTTAGGAGGCTGAGGTGAGTGGATTGCCTGAGTCCACGGAGACTTGCCTGGGCAACTTGGCGAGACTTCATCTCTACAATAAAAATCTAAAAATCAGCCGGGCGTGGTAGCGCCTGCCTGTAATTCTGGTTACTAGGAAGGCTGAGGTGGAGGGATCGCCGGAGCCCAGCAGGTCGAGGCCGGCCACTGCACTCCAGTCTGAGCGACTGAGTGAGACTCCAACTCAAAAAAAAAAAAAAAAAAAAAAAAGATGTCAATTTCCTAAGTACCCAAAAGGTGGTGCTAATGATATGCAGCCTCACTATTTCAGAAGGCCCCATCATTAAGAAGTACTGAAAAAAGACATTTCTTGGGCAATGGTCTTGAGCTTGTACAATATACATGCAATGTGATTTGTGATGCTGTGCAAAACGTAAAAACTTTCCATCTGTGTCATACATGTGATACATGCATTCACACGTATGGAAGTTGGTACTCAGTCCTTCAAACAGAGACAACTGTTTACTTCCAAGCTCTCTCTTCACTGCTGAGGTGACCCGAAGGGCAAGGGCAAGAGGGTTAGAGAGGAACTTCATGTCCTGCCTCCAGCTGCAAGTGTATCTGGGAAATACTGTGTATCCTGGCAGCCGTATCTAAGGCATTCCCAGAGCTTCGAGGAGGATCCTGCTGGAAGGCACAGGCTGGATCCCTGGGCTTTGCAAGAAGCCTGTGGCAGAGAAACTCACTAAAGTGAAATGGTCCAAGGTTACATGAAAAGCTCTAGTAATTTCATTTCAAATGCAACTTTTGCCTTTTGTATTTTTAAAATACTGAGCTTGTTCAATGGTAACCATGAAGAATGAGAACATCTCATTTAGGTATTGTCCCTTGTCAAAAAGACCTCAAGTTTCCCCCCAACCTCCTTTTGCTCTTATGATAATAGAATCTCAGTCATTTAGAAAACCAACTTAGAATACACACACACACACACACACACACACACACACACACACACCCTGCTTTTTAACCTTAACACAGTACCTACATGGCTGAGTGGCTCTTTAAATATTTCTCATGAATGTTGTATTAACATCTTATAAAATTGCTGCACAGAATATTTCTTTTTCTTTCTTTTTTGAGACTGAATCTTGCTCTGTTGCTCAGGCTAGAGTGCAGTGGCACGATCATAGCTCACTGTAACTTCTAACTTCTGGGCTCAAGCAATCCTTCTGTCTCAGCCTCCCAAAGTGCTGGGATTACTAGAGTGGGCTACCACGTCCCTCCTCCTCAGAGCATTTCTACTGGCACCTAATGACAAAGTCTGGGCACAATTCCTTGTGCCACAGAACCACTCACATGCATTATTTCCTACCTACTAAAATGATGGAAGGAGGAAATGTGAATGCGCCTGGCTCTTTTTGAGCATTCTGGATCCATGCATAATGCTAAGTTGCTCATGTGTGCTCAAGCCTAGGCTTTTTAAGTCACACAGTCATGAAATATATATGGTTCCAGGGAGATGCGATCCTATCCCTTCTTCTATGATGATTAAAAAAACCCAACTTCTGAAAACTCTTCAACTGTTATTACATCCCTTTCACCTTGGACTGACACTGGTAAATGCATGCCCTTGTAAAGGCAGGCTATTCCCCCCACAAAGCTTTATGTCCTCAGGATATTGAAACTAATTTTCTAATACTTTAAAAGTATTATTTTCAAGCCTCACGTGCCATGATCTCCACTGACAAACACACTTAAAAAAAGGTATTATTTTGATTTAGTTCTGATCACATGAGGTTTTCTCCCAAGTTTACGCTGAGTCCAACTTTTTTTAAAGAACAAAAAATTTGCCACTCACAAAAGACTTGCATTACATAGTTATCATCTGCAAATACTTACAAGTGATAACATTTCCTGCCGGAATCAGAATCAAGGATCACTGAATGACTGCTCAGCTGATGAACTGTCTGAGCCTGCTCATCACATCACGTCATATCACGTCATTAAGAAAGATTTCCACTACTTCTGAAACATGGCTCGAAACCTCGACCACAAAACACAACCTTCACGTCACACACCCATGAGTTTTGTTGCCATCGCCAGCACTGTCGCTGGGCTCCCATCTGGGAAGTTGATGTGCCACATACCATAACCCTGCCCTCCACCCTTCATGAGAAGGCTCAGGAGGGTAAGAGACTTGCTCCCATCTTTGGGAAGGCCACTTAGCTCCTGAGAATCCAAATTGTCAGGAGCTAAGTGGCTCTCAAAGAATGTGGCTCTCAAAGGGTGGCACATTTGTGTCCTGGGAGTGGCTAGAAATGCAGGTGCCAGAGCCCACCTAGGCCTGCTGGAACACAGGGGACACCTGTGCACACTCAACTCTGGGCATCTGGGGTCTTTAGATTTGCTGGGGTGGTGGTGACTTTTCACTTTTCCTCTGTTTTACAAATTATGAAAATGACACAGCAGTGGTTGCCACCATTTCCCGAAGGGCGCGCCAAGGCAGTGCTCAGGGTCAGGGTTTTCCAGGCTGATGCTCACATTCTACATGGGGCTGTCGCTACCTCACCTCACCTCACCTCACTGATGACAAAGCTGAGTGTGACAGCAAGGAGCCACTGTGCCCGCCCCAGCTAGACAGAGGCCAAGTCACAACTGGAGTCTGTTTCTAGATCCCAGACCCTCCTAGCTTATACAAAGCACCTCGGTCACTGCAAACACCTAGGCAGCAGCCAGGCATGCCAATGGGTGGTTTGCAGCCGGCTCTGCGGCGGAACCTGAAGCCCCTCACCTTCCCCAGCTTCACCCGCAGCCGTCTCTCCTCCATCCTGGCCTTCAGCATGTCCACGTCCTCCTTGGTGCCGTTGAGCACGATGACATCATCCTCCTGGAAGGCGGTCCCACACTGCAAGGGCAAACAAGAGAATATGGTCGGTTACCACACAGAGGGAGTGTCACCAGCAGCCTCCACTCCTGGCCAGGTGTGAGTCACCACACACAGCCCCAAAAAGAACATTTTAAAAGAATAATTTATAGGTTGGTCAAGGTGGCTCATGGTCAACGTGGCTCATAATCCCAGCACTTTGGGAGGCCAAGGCAGGAGGATGACCTGAGTCCGGGAGTTCAAGACAAGCCTGGACAACATAGTGAGACCTCATCTTTATAAAAGAAATTAGCTGGTGCTGTAGTACCAACTACTCAGGAGGCTGAGACAGAAGGATCATCTGAGCCCAGGAGGTCAAGGCTGCAGTAAGCCGTGATCATGCTGCTGCACTCCAGCCTGGGGAACACAGTGATACCCCAATTAAATAAAAAAGAATTTATTAGATAAGAGACTTATTACTAGGATATGAAATGTTATCTAAAGTCAGAAAAAGGTAGAAGCCATAACATTAATAAGTTTTATGTAAAAATTACAAACTTTTATATGATAAAGTCACAGTAAACAAAAATATAAGCAAAAGCCTAGAGAAAATATCTGTAGTATATGTAACATTCATAGGATTACTCTACAGAACATATTTACTCTAATATTCATGTAAGAACTCCTTATAACACCTCCACACACCACCCTGAAAATGGGCAAGGCAACCCACTAGGAAGTCCCTGAATGCCCAGCTCTCGGCAGTGGGATCACAGACCTCACAGTCCCCACCCGCCCCTAGCAGCTACTCAGTCTCCCAGACCACCAGCTGGAAATCCAGGGCTGCAGCCCAGTGAGAACCTCAACACTGTTCCCCACGTCTTATTCGTAAAAAGTAAACTCTATGGAAACAACCTAAGTGTCAATGGATGAACACATAAAAAAACTGTGGTGTACACACACATGCATGTGCATACGCACACACATACACACACACACAAATATTATTCAGCCTGTAAGGAGATCCTGCCATTTTTTAACAACATGGACAGAACTGGAGGACGTTATGCTGAGTGAAAAAAGTCAGACTTAGAAAGAAAACCCCAGCATGAGATCACTTACATGTGGAATCTAAAAGCCAAATACACAAAAAAGGAGTAAAACGGTGGGTACCAGGCAGGGATGGAGGGGATATCAGATGTGGTCAAAGGGCGTAGCAGGTATGTAGGATGAACACATCTAGAGACCTAGCGTATGCATGAGGACACTGTACCACACACTGGACATCCATAAAATGTCACGCGCCCTTAAAATACACACCATGGTAATCACTGGAGGAGATAGTATGCTAATTTGCTTGCCTAAGTAATCATTTCATTGCCTATATAAAAATAAATATCAGTTGTACACCTTAAACACACACAATTTTTTAAAAGTAAGCCCTCATTTTGAAAGTACTGGTTTTAGCCGGGCTCGGTGGCCCAGCCTGTAATCCCACACCTTTGGGAGGCTGAGGTGAGTGGATTGCCTGAGCCCGCGGGTTCGAGACCCACCTGGGCAGCGAGACCTCATCTCTACAATAAATAAAAAAATCAGCCGGGTGTGGTAGCGCATGCCTATAATTCCGGCTACTTGGAAAGCTGAGGCGGAAGGATCACCGGAACCCAGCAGGTCGAGGCTGCGGTGGCTGGAAGCGGCCACTACACTCCAGTCTGGGCAACAGAGTGAGACTGCAACTCGAAAAAGAAAAAAAAAAAAAAAGAAAGTACTGGTTTTAATGTTAACCAAAGAGGCATATGCTAGGCTGAGTTTCACCATCCTCAAATTCTTGAAAATAGTTACTGGCATAGCAAGAATGTATGAGAAGGACAAGAATCTCTCATTACTTGTTACAAAACAACTTACTTTTTTTGCAACAGAAAGTACATCAGGCAGTGACATTGGTGCCAATGGCCATTTGCAGTGACGTGACTGTAATGGGCCTGGGCTGCACAAGCCAGCTGGAGCTTCCCTTCGTTTACTTCATCTTATAAGTGCAAGAAACGTGCTAAGTGAGACGTGGCTTCTGCCATCTGTGAATTTGGTGGGGGTGTTTTAAACATGGAAGAGAACTGACCACCTTACCACCCTGTCTATGAAGTCTCTCCTGTTCTCCCCTGCCTGAGGAAGTCTCTAATTCTGTGGCTTCCAACTCATAGAGGGGCAAGCTGGGATTTTATTTTATATCTCCAGATCTCCAAAACCTCTTAGGGGGTGGTGAAAGCAGAAATTGTGTTACATCTTTGAGCCTGCAGGACATGCCCAGGACTCAGAATGCTAAGAGTAGGCTCTAAGGGAGGCTTGAGCCCACTGACTTCTGCCAACACACCCTCTAAAAGCAGATTGACAAAATCTAATTCACATTAGGTTCACCATGTGAGTGTGCAATTCAATGGCTTTCAGTATGTTCACAGAGATGTGCAACCATCACCATAATCTATGTTAGAGTATTTTTTTATCACTTCCCAAAGAAGCCAAGACCCTTGAGCACTCACATCCCATCCCCTCTCCCTCAGTTGCAGGCAACCATGGATCTTTTTCTGTTCCAATGGCTCTGCCTCTTCTGGACGTTTCACATCAACAGGACCATATGGTATACAGGGATTTTGTGACTGGATTCATCCATGCAGTATAATGTTTTCAAGACTCATCCATGTGGCATGTATCTCCATTATTTTTACTGGGTCATATGTTGGGTTTATGTTTAAACCTATGGGTTAAACATATGTTAATGCCTTTCCTCAAGACAATTCTCCAAAGTGCTGTGGCACTTTACGCTCCCACAGCAATGCTCAAGGACTCTGACTTCTCCACATAAGTGCAGCACTTGTCACTGTTTGACTTTTGATGACACCATCCTAGTGGGCACGAAGCAGTATCTCATTGTGGTCTTTTCCCCAATGACCAGTGATGTTGAACATCTTGTCATGTGCTTACCAGCCATCTATACATCTCCTTGGGAGCAAGTCAGATACATGATTCACAAATGTTTTCCCATTCTGTGGGCTGTCTTTTCACTTCCTGGATGATGTCCTTTGAAGCACAAATTTTAAAAATTTTGATGTAATCTAACTTATTAATATTCTCTGTACCATTATGCTTTGGGTGTTATATTTATTTTTTGTTTTTGTTTTTGTTTTTGAGTTGGAGTCTCACTCTGTCGCCCAGACTGGAGTGCAGTGACCTGCTGGGTTCCGGCGATCCTTCCACCTCAGCCTTCTGAATAGCCGGAATTACAGGCATGCGCTACCATGCCCGGCTGATTTTTTGATTTATTGTAGAGATGAGGTCTTGCTGCCCAGGCGGGTCTCGAACCCGCGGGCTCAGACAATCCACTCACCTCAGCCTCCCACAGGCGCGGGATTACAGGCTGAGCCACCGAACCCGACTGGGTATTACATTTAAAAGTTATTATCTGACTCGAGATCACGAAGTCTGACTTCTGTGCTTCTCCTGAGACGTTTACAGTCTTAGCTTACACAGATCTGTGATCCACTTCGAGTTCATTTTTATAGACCATTTAAGGTAGGGGGTCCACATTCATTATTTTGCATGCAATATCCGGTTACCTCAGCCCCATTTGTCAAAAAGATTATTCTTTCCACCACTGAATTGTCTTGACCCTTTGTCAAAAATCAGCTGACACTGAGTGAGGGCTTGTTTCTGGACTTTCCATTTTATTCCATCAATTGACATACTATCTTTCCATCAGCACCACATTATCTTGATTTTGGTAACGTGACTTTTAAGAGCTACACATTGAGTGGATCAACCAAAAAACTTTTTTTCTGATACCTATAAAAAGCAACTTTTAAATATCGTAGTCATAGTTATTTGAAAGTATGCCACATAAAGCCTGCTACTAACCAAAATATTTAGGTACCCCATAAGATACCACCCTGAAAGAACATCAGGGCAGGAACCCAAATCATCAATTAAGTTTTTTAAGTAACTGGAACAATAATTTTAACAGACCTACTGTGCCCAGCACAATAACAGAAGTACTACGTCTGGAATCTCTTTTATAATAAATATTCTCAGCACAAGAAGAAATGAAAATATTTTTTTTCTTATGTTGCTAAAGATTTTCTTTTCCTTTTCTTTCTTTTTTTCTTTTTTTGAGTCAGAGTCTCACTCTGTCACCCAGTCTAGAGTGCAGTGGCACCATCACAACTCACCATAGCCTTGATCTCCTGGGTTCAGGTGATCCTTCTGCCTCAGCCTCCTGAGTAGCTGGGACTACAGGGGCATGCCACCACACCAAGGCTAAGTTTTTAATTTTTTGTAGAGATGAGGTCTGGCTATATTGCCCAGGCTGGTCTTGAACTCCTGGGCTCAAGCGATCTTCTTGCCTTGGCTTCCCAAAGTGCTGGGATTACAGGCCTGAGCCACTGTGCCCAGTCACTGCCAAAAATTTTCTAGCACCTCCCAACACACAGAAGGACTATCTGCTGACCGTCCTCAGCCCTCTGCCTTAGCTGGTAATTTATTGTAGTTCTTTTTTTTTTGCCAATTACTATGAATTTCCTTTATTTATTTATTTAATTATTATTTTTTAAATCAATATTTTTTATTATGATATTATGGGGTACAGTTAAGGGTTAGGTATACAAATATGATTTGTTCAGGCACCCTTATTGATAAGAGGTGTCTCCTCATCCCCAGACAGATATTTACTACCATTAATCCCATCTCCCTCCCCGCCCCCCATAGTTTCCTACCACTGTCAGTCATTTTCTTATAGTATTACATGGGATGTTCAAGGTCCACTATATGAGTGAGAACATGTGATACTCGGATCTTTGTTTCTGTGAGAGGTCACTCAGTATTATAGACTCTAGTTCCATCCAGGTTGCTGCGAAATTCATGATTTTGTTCTTTTTTATGGCTGCGTAGTATTCTACCGTGTATATGTACCACATTTTAAAAAATCCAGTCCTCTTTTGATGGACAGCATGGTTGTTTCCAGGTTCTTGCTATTGTGAACAATGCTGCGATAAACA